GTGTGCCTTGGCAGTCATCCACGTGTTCAAAAATAGTTTGTTTACATAGAGGTTTTACTGTCAATAAACCATCATCATCTCACAGACTGCATACCATCTCTCACAGCCACTATCGTACCGTCAACGCACTGAAGCCATCCACACACCGGTCAAAGGTAATGAAATGGAAGTCCTTAAGAGAAAAATAACTCATAAAGTCCTCACTTCAGAAGCATAAAAGCTAAATATGATGATGGTTTTGATCTACTTATTTGATTCCTCTCTGTTTTAGGCTCATACCTGCCTTTATCAGTTAACAGTGTGTAATATGCAGCCAGCCAGTATATCCTATGGCAAAGACATCACTGTTATTGCCTCAGATGATGATGTGGAGGAAGAGCTTTGCCCGGGAACCTCCACAGTGTCAGGTGAGAATACCTGACGTGCTGACTGGGTTTGACAAAATGTAAGCAAATAAGCACCTGTTGAACTTGACAAGCTCAAAAAGACTCAACTTCCCATTGTATCAAACGGATGAAGCCTTATGATTATTTGGTTTTCTTTCAGTTAATGGCGAAAACAGATTTGACAGTACAGTGACATCTGGTGGCTTGCAAAACTTAAAGCATCCATTTAAGCTTGAGGCTGATTTTAATACTTTCAATCTCATATTTGAGCTATACAAATCCTAAAAGTCTGCATGCATGGTATTATCATATCTTTGATACGTCTCGTCGAGGTGTGATGCATTAAATGTTGGTGTTATTGTGCAATATGTACAGTCAAATAATTAATGCATTCATTGTCCAGGTTCAAATATTGTTGATGTGATTAAAATTAATGTACTTTATTGCTGTAGTTAAGGCCAAGTGACCACTCTTAAGGCTTTATATATGAGTGGACATGTGACAAAATGCTATGATCAATAGTTTATTCTTACTTTTATGACTTATACATTTGTATAATAAAAAAATGCTGCCATACTTATGATGCGTTTTTTTGTGTACATTCCCATGATCCTCAATGATGCTCCTCCCCACCAATGTGCCTACACAATAGTTTAATTGCAACACTTTCCAAACGTTATAACTCGTTGAAGCACCTTGTGTCATCTGTCACATGGTGTATTTCACTTGACAAGCTTTGACATCATGTATTCAAAATCTACAAAATAGGCTTCTTTATCATGTCAAGTCAATTGTATTTACACAGCCAGATATCACAAATCACACTTTTGTATTATGGGGCTCTACAATTTGATAGACACATCTGTTTCATGGCTGCTCATGGGTGAAATTAAAGTAAAAAAATATCTTTTAGTGTTCTATGCAGCATCTCAAGCTGGCCAGATGTGACATATTGCAGTTGTTTATGTTGCTCTTTTTAGAATTGATCTATTATACCTTAATACAACTCATCCTCACAGAGGGGTGTCACTTAAGAATCTGCTACACTATCTTACTCTGTTTGAATATCAGCATGCCGGCTTCACTTCATTGAAGTGGCTTTTTCCACCTTGTCACTGGGCAACATTTGAAACGCTTGCATGACCAAATGAAGCACAATCAATAGCCTGGACTATGCTTACCTCTACTGCTGAATCGTCTTCTCTAAAACGTACTAATATGTAGCTACAAAAAATATCAAACATTATATTCACAACAATGTATTGCTTTGCTTGTTTCTGACTTAAAAATACATTTGTTCCTCTAGCGGTCGTGACATGTTATTTTCATGTTTTAGCCAATTCAAGTTATAACATATTGCTTTTTCTTATAGTCAAACATTTTACAAACGTTTCAGAAAAGCCCTCTGTATAGTTGTTGTTTTTTGGTGAGCCTAATTTATATGAACTGTTTTTGTATTGTGATTTATTTCTTTTCTATGGCAGCTCCAGATCCAGTAGGACCAAATGAGAAGAAGACGAAAAGGAAGAAGAGGAGGGAGAAGAGGAAATTAATAAACAGACACCTCAAGTCAGCTGAAACCTCGGACAATTATATGTCAGAGCTTCCGTTTTCTCTGACCAGCCCCACCACATGGAAAGAGCTTGGATGTGTGTATATTCTTGATGTGATGTTTATACTTATACAACTTAGAGTTTTTTCTAATAGTATGTTTGCCCTTTCTCTCTAGTCTCCGGCCCAGCTTCAACTCAGAAGAAGAGAAAGAGGAAGAGAGGAGATATTGGAGGGCGAGTTGACAGCGAAGAGGACGCAGATAAGAAGAAGAAAAAAAAAGAGAGCGTGCGGCCCAACTTTTTTATCTCCATCCCCATCACTAACACACAGGTGAGGTATTGAGGTTCTATTCTCTTGCTTGTGTACTTTAAGGATCATTTATCATCGTTTGTGTGCATTGTACCCAATAATTTTTTTAAATTACAGGTTTTATTTATTAAAAATGTTTGCCAGCTTACTGATCAACTTATTGATTATCCACTTTTTGTTTTATCATCGTTTTCCCAACATTCATGTTTGTTTGCAATTCACCCAACTGATCAGAAGACCTTCCAAAAACAATTTACTCTTCCATCAACATAACATATTTTTCACAAAAGATATACAACCTATAATATTATTCAATGTGAGGAACTATCAGTTAAGCAATTTAAAGTTATTAAAAAAAAATGTGAACTACTTTAATTGCAAATGTGTTGCTAAATAAATGTATGAAGCATTCAAAACTATTGTATGCGTTGGACAGAAGGAAGCAAATAAAAAAAAAGTGAAAAGAAATAAGTGTAGTAAATTGGAAATGTATAACAAACATAAGCAACTGGGATATTTAAGGAAAGTTCTCCTTTTGTAGAGAAGTCTTTAATTTCTTCTCCTAAAATACTGTTGATTAATTTAGTGTTTGACACTTGGTCATGGTCAGTGTAGCTAAATCGGTAACTGCAGAAAAGATTAAATTACCCGACAGATGATGACACTGAAATCTTAATGCTTATTGACAAAAAAAACCCTCTGAATGAACTTAGACTTACCTCATGGTTATCTTTTATTGACGCCTCATCTGTGGTGTTGAACTGCAGAAGTTGCCTCTCTTTCAGTCTTCCTCCATACATCCAGAGGAGTGGAGGTAAAGAACATATAGGACTAGAATAGGTAACAAACAGACCCTGAATGTGACAGCATATGGCGGCTGCTGCTGATTGAACTTAAATCTATCCAATGACAGATCAGCTCAGCCGTAACCCAGGTCCAAGAGGCGGTACTTCAGCAGGAGCCCCGATTGGCCAGAGCCATGATCCCTGTCCCAACTCTCCACATCACGCTATTAGTCACTCATCTCGCCAGTCAGGAGCAAGTAGACCTGTGAGTGGATGCACACACAGACACACTAACACTCTGTAACGCACATAATGGCTTCAAATTATGTATACAAACCACTAAAGCTTTAGTCTGACTAAACATTTTGGGAAACGTTTAACATTTTTGTTGTAAAAAGCTATCAAACAGTCAATCAATTCTAACCATTACACTTTTTCAAAGCAGAAATGTAGCACAGGTTTTAGAAATGACAGTAACCATGTGTATGGAGGGTTTAAAGGACAGAAATGAAATATGTGTAAAAATATAAATATATAATAACAAATATATGTTTAATTCAATACTCTAATAATTCTCTAATTTATTGCTTAATTTCCACCATTTATAAATAAATCCCATATTAAATGACACATCACATATGTCACTGTTATATGTTTTAAATAAATACATTAGAATAAGTGTGTCATTATTTAATACTTACCAGTGCTTCTCAAAGTGTGGTCTGCGGACCTTTGGTGGTCTGTGATCGCCCCCTAGTGGTCCGTGAGTATATTGGTAACATTTCACATTTGAAATAAACACATTTATTTAAGTTTTCCGCACTCTCGCGGGAATATCTCCGCAATGGAGCGAGCTTTCAATTGCATGATATAACCCAGCGCAACACCTTCATCACACATGTTCTATTTCGTATATGGCTTCGCCCTCTAAGGCTATCGCTATTGGGTAATCCCCCTGCGCACCCGTGCAGCACTGAAACACTTGTAGTCCACGCCCACCCGCAAGGTGGGCCCCACCCTCGGGCTCCCTTCCGGTATAAATAGGAAGGAGGCCCGACAATCTGCTCCCTCCCTCTTTTCTTCAGCACACCGTTGCTGAAGCACAAGAGACACTTCAATTGCAGAGTAAACATGAGTAACAATTGTGTGAGAGATTGTCCCTCATGTGGCTCTGGGTTCATAATGAGTTATGACCAGCACAGATAAAAGCAGTATGCGAATCCTGCCTGGGGTCAGAGCACGCGTACGCGGCTCTAAACCAGCAGGTAGCATGCACACACTGCGCCCGTCTCCCCTCGGGCGACAGGAAGCGGAGAGCGGACGCTCTTGCTGCTGCGGCCGAGGAGGACGATTGGCCTGTCCAGGCTTACATGCCCGCGGACGGGCCTCGTGTCCCTGGGGCCGAGTGCCGGGCAGGAGTCCGACAACTCCCGCCCCGCCTCCCTCCACGGTTCACCGTTCGGTTCTCCCCTCCCTCCTCTCCCCCAGACCGGGGAGACAGAGTCGGAGCAGGGTGCCAGGTTGGCGGCCGAACGCACGGTTCCAAACTTCTCCGCTGCCACAGCGCTACCAGCGATAGGTGGCTGTTACGTTCCCTATTGGGCTAGGGTACCAAAGGGAACAACACGACCAGAGTAGAATTGGTAAAAATTATAAGTGGCTTTATTACAGCAGGTGGCAACAAAAAGACAGGCAAACGGCCTAAAATGACCCAAACGGATGGTCTAACCATCAACAAAAGGGGACTCCAAAAGAGAGTTACAAACAAAACCTCACGTTACACGTGGCACAAATGGAAATGAGGAAGGCTGCACACACACAGCTACAGCTGGTCAACAGGTGCTAATCACCTGGGTCTAAGCTAATACGTTACACAAATCTAACAGCTGATCAACAGGTGCTACTCACCTGGTTCTAAGCTAACACGTTTACACAAATACTAACAGCTGATCAACAAGTGCTAATCACCTGGGTCTAAGCTCACAATTATAAACACAACACAACACGAGGCACAACACACTACTTAGCACTCTGCTAAAGCCGTCTACTAGTTACGGGGAGCTAATAGCATAAACACACAAGTAAGGTATCACGAGGCTAGAGGCGTCCTGTCTCCCAACACAGAGTCTCCAGGAATGTTCTCTTCCCAGCCTTTGTACTCCGCCCCCGTACGGAGTTCCGGAAACGGGGAGGGGATGGATGACCATCCTCCAATCCCGCGGTTCAGATGTTGCAGGGCGGGACGGCCAAGGCATCAGGGGGAACTGCGCAGCTCATGTACACACAACACACACACACACACAACACACACACACACACACCACGACACACACTACACACACAACACAACACACACACACACACACACACACACACACACACACACACACAACACACACACACACACACACACACACACACACACACACACACACACACACACACCAGTCTGGACCAAGCATCTGCAAACACGTTTCTCTGACCCCTTCTTATGGTCCGGCTCTGCAGGTTGTAGTCCCTGAACGATCAGAGCAACCGCCCATGAGGCCCGCTGGCTTTGTGATTGTTCCATCGGGACAAAAAGACGGATGGGGGGTTATATTGCGTTAAACACTCAACTGGCAAGGGACTGGATACGACATAAACCTCAAAGTGCTGGAGAGCTACAACAAGCAAGGTCTCCTTTTTTCAATGGTCGAATACCGGAACTGGGACTTATTGAACTTGCGGGAGAAATAACAGGGACAGGATGATCAACTCCATCACGCATCCTCCTGCAGTGAACAGCCCCGGCCCCCCGCTACACTGGCATCCACCTCAAGTGTAAAAGGGCTTAGAAGATCGGGGAGCAGCGATCACAGGAGCATGACTTAGAGTGTCTTTCAACTCAATGTATTATTGGGCACTCAGGGGTCCAAACGTAGCCACCTTGGGACTTATCAGAATTAGTTAGGGGTTGGGCTACAGTTGGAAAATTGTGGAGAACTGACGAGGTAGTAGCCTGCCTTACTGATAAAACGGCGGAGGTCCTCCTGTTTAGCCGAACCGCACATTCAGCCACCGCAGCAACCTTGGCTTCCACTGGTCGGGCTTCTGGCCTTCTCCACCTGCTTCCCTAAATAGTTGACAGTTAGCTTTCCCAAACTCACATTTGGCCAGATTCAACGTAAGAGAAGGGCCTGTGCGAGGCGGGTGATATCCTGCCCAGGATCTTCATATGCACTCCCAAGTGGGCATGTCAACGATGAGATATCCAATAGGCGTACAATTACTTATGCCTGATATAGGACGGATATTCCACCAACCTCTGGGGAAAGTGGCCAGAGCATTACACATGCCGAGAAAGCCATTGACTGTGTACTGCAGAAAACAGTCAGGCGTAGCGAGACGGAGA